CCCTGAATCCATTCATCAACGATACGGGGGTCTCCCTGTCCTGAGAACTTCTCTGCGTGATAATCGCGGAACTGAGCGACTACCGTAGCCTGAGTAGGACCCTGATGATCGGGCTCTCTACGTGGCGGCATCTGAACATTGAAAAAAAAGTTTAATCATTACTGAATATTACTGAATACATGATAGCCTTACTGACTGATTACTTAGGCACACAGATCTCTTGACGAGTTGCCAAAAATGGCTGATAATTACTGACGTGAAACCTGAAGAACTCTAGAGTCATATAGGAAGATTCTAACGTCTAGAGTCATATCTGAATGCCTGAATTCTAAAGTCATGTCCGAACTCTAAGGTCTGAATCTGAGTTGAGCATCTTACTAAAGTCCTGATCCTCTATTCTGAGCATAGACAAAGTAATATGTTTATAACTGAAAAAACTGAATCAACACTTACCTGTCGTCGGCGGGGCGTGAGCATGACGGTGTGGGTTTTTCTGAAAAATTACTGACTGAAAACTTATCAGAGACGCAGAAACGTGCTCTGATACCAATTGTAACACCCCTCCTTACTAAAAAATCAGAGTGCGCTAAAATTCGCAAAGTTATTTAAAATAAAACCTTTTTACTTCGCGAAAACTGTTTCGGGGTGCTACCGTGAAAAATCGTTACTTAACTTAGAAAACCGTTGTTTTAACTTAATAAAAACGTCCGGTTACTGAAAACTTTATTTTCTTAAAAGTTCGTCAAAGTGATGATTTCGTCAGAAGCGTACGTCAAAAGATATCAAAACATCATCACAAGTCATCAAGACATAAGCGGAAGCGTAAGTCATAATCATATTATACAGTCCAAAACATATATAAATATCCTGAAGTCCCCGTCACGTCACGTCACGTCACGCTACGCTCCCGGCCCGACATCCTGACCTGAAAAACATGATAAAACTGGGGAGTGAGCACTAAGGCACTGTGCTCCGTGGAAACTCATGCTAATGTAAAACATTGTGAATAATA